CATGGCATCACACGTTTCAAACACAACTGAACATATTCGATGATCTGATAAAAACAACTATAACAAAGTGCAGAAATATCAAAACACTCGACCACCCAACAACATAAATCCTATGATTTGACCTCATAACAACCAGAATGAATCTGGCACTAAAACGGCACGGGGAATGAGTGAGTAAGTATGGTTTTGGACCGCTTTTAGCAAATGACGGCGGGGCGTGACGAGGGAACGCTTTAACCGCTCGGCTACCCCGTCACCCTGACCAGGATGGTGGGACTCTCAGGGCTGCTGTATTACATGAAGTCATCTCCAAGCATACCAAGATGACTCAAGTGCCAACCTTCCTTGCACAAGTGTCCAGCTCAACAAATTGAGTGAGCGAATGTTCCTGCTACATCCAAACAAGTCTGGACCGGGCAAACCAGATTTTGAAAACATGAGAAAGGATGACACAGCATGACCAGAGTTCCGCATCTTCGCAGGCTCGAACAAGGTACTGGGTCGGCAAAGGGATAACAGCAGCATGATTATCATTGCTAAGGGATTACTACAATCATAGCGCTAAGATTGCTTTATAAAATCTCAAGAGATCCAGCGGGAACTGATTTACTGCAATGAAAATCCTTGTGCATCGTAAGAAAATGAAGGCCAACAAAGCATATAATTCAACAGTATGGCACTATTTCCTCAGTGACACTAATCTATTTTTCCACAACGTAGTCCATAGTATACAGCAGTTTTGTTCATAAAATGTCATTCAGATGAGATTGTCATGTCTTGTCTGGACCAGAATTTGCCATCAGTTAGAGGCTGATATAAGTGTGTTCATTCATCCTTGCGAGTTTGGGCACTAGCTTCCCCTACAAGTGCTGGCTGAAACTCGGCATCCTGTCTGTTGTGGAATCCAGGCATCCCTGATCACAGACTGACGGCTTGATCTACACGGGGGTGTTGTTTGTTGGGAGGCCAAGGTCACGTTGTGTGAACTGTGACCTTGATGTGAGTGAGTCTGTGAGTTGGGCAAGTCTGCATGGGGTCACTACAGTTGTCCCGACTTCACAAAACTACCTAAAGCGAAAGAATTTTATCTACAAGAAAAATATTCTTCTAAGAAATCTCTCTGGGATTGCAGTTTCTAATACACTCTGGGGCAAATGTTAACGCAGCGTATTTCTGACCGTTTCCATGCAGTGAAATAGTCCAAATTAACAAAGTTCCAGGTTAATGATACATGGGTACGTAGTAATTCTCATGGGTCTCCGGATAAACTGAGGTTCACTGTACTTCTCATCCTATTTTTAAGAACCATAGACCACACACACATTGATATATGTTTCCACAGTTACGCACAACGTCTTCAGATAACTTATTCACAAATATGCGTATCAGTTATGTAATACGTACAATCTTTTATGAAAATATATTAAATATGTTTAGTTATATATCGATAATGTGAAAATCTCTGACGAAATATCCAAATTGCATTGTCGTGTGTATTCTTGCTATCATTTATTTGTATTTGTTGTTTCTATTCGTTCCTTAGTTGGAGATAAATACCTGTCTAATCTTCATATTGGAAGGTAATAATCACATCGTTCATGCCTTTATTCTTGCGTGACTTCAAATATAGTACCACCATTACACCTAAATGCATTTTTGGGGTGTGAAAACGGACCAGCCTATTTGAACCTCTTTTCTAGGCAAATCTGACTTGCGAAACATTTAACTTAAACTTTTTTTCTGGTTTTAATACGCATAATATATAAATATCTAACGTTTATTTGGTTTTTAGAGGTTTTGAAAAGGGAGGTACTTTTTTATAACTTTAAGAGTAGGCTCCCTTCTAAGAATAATATTTAGGTCAGGTAAGTTTTCTATATTTAACATCGGGGAATTTAACTTGGTTGAAATACTAAATATTTCATTCATTCATTTAAGAAATATTAAAAAAAATAAAAGTCAATTCCGGTGTTGCTATGGTAACGGTTGCCAAGTTCAAGCTCGACTCTTACGAATCTTCGTTTGCCGAAGCGTATCATTGCTACCACACCTCTGCTCTTTTGAAGGTTTCTTCGGTATATTTGAGTTCCCGTGCTTTGATCCTACTGCAGTAAGGTAATTAAACGTCTTGCCTGTATAGATATAGTCTGCTGTTGCTCTAATGTTCCCAGGTTTACCTTTGTTGGCAATTTAAACATAATAACTCATCCTTGACAACAGCCCAAATGTCCTCCTTTCTAGGTCCACTTTGTAATGTCCATACAGTGTAAACTTCCACATATATCCTCAACGGTAATTGACAGGCCATAAGGCCCCCGGGTTTATAACACTAACTCTATCTATACCAGGGGTTCGAATCGACATGACAGCGTTAGAAATTGGCACTGGTCCTATAGGCCAAACTGCCCAATAGTATCATAAGGACAAGAAGAAATTTGCCTTTTGTGGTTTTGCTATTACGTTTTTTAATAAGGACTAGTGGTCTGTGTTTCTATAGCTGCATGATAGAACAGTATTCAAAGTGAGTGAGTGAGTGAGTGAGTTGGGTTTAACGCCGCTTTTAACATTATTCCAGTTATATCACGGCGTGTCAGCTTAATGTGGGAGGAAAGCCCGAAGTGATGCAGGTCTCACTGTTCTACTGTTATCTGGTCTCCTTACCGATATAAATTTGAATCTGGCCGTTCTGTTGTGATTTCAATTTAAAATATCCATGACCACCTGGTAACTCCCAGTGCAGTTTATGGTAGCTGAACAGACTTAATACAAATGCTACTGAAATCTTGTAAAGAATAGTTCATGGTTTACACACCATTAAGCCAAACTATTTATTGTGAGTTTAAATAACTTTTCGGGTTATATTTGAAGTCGAAATATTGACCTTTTGACCATATCTAGATATATGTCAGAAACTAACTAAATTGATATGTTGATATAATGTATCAAATTGTAACCTACTGAGAATTTACAATCGTAACAAATCAGAAGTTTGCATCAGTTGCGTATTTGATGTAAATTGTAATGGACTCAAATGCATTCCAATAAAATATTAGACCTCTCGATCTACTTGTGCTGTTGTGATTGTGAACAGTTGTTATTTTGATTGTCAATGTTGACAGATTAGATAGCATGAGGTGTAATATTTCAACAGAATTATTACACAAAGGGTGTGTAAATATTTAAAGTAAAGTACAGTTTGATCTGCAATTTTGGTTACAATTAATATTTCTACCAAAATGATATTTACTTTACTGTACCAATTAAATCATGTCATGAAATGAACAAAAACCCAACTAATTTATGTCCAGTAAATGTTCAATTTACATTTGATCTTTATATAATTTACAGAAACAGATAACTCTTTAACAGTTTGTATTCAAATATTTCAAATGCATAAATTTATAATGACATTACTAAAACCTTAAAGTATAAAAAGAATTATTTTTAATTCCCATGTGTATTGCAATCATAACTCATTAATTCCCTTTGTTTAATTGTGAAACCCATCTGGTTTTATGTCCACAAACATGTTTTGAAACTTTTAAAACAAAACGATTTCTTTTGTGCAAGCAATTGCCATGTATTATTGATTATTAATCATATCAATTTATATATAAGAATATAGTTGTGCTTACTGTGTCATTTTGCAATAATTATATTGTTATGATGTAATATTTTACTATTGTTAACAATCTTTAGAACTTTAGTTTATTTCAATTAAGTCAAGTGGTGTGATCATTTTGATATTTTTTTATAATTCAATCAAAACAAGAAAAAAAAAAATATATAAATACATAGAAGAAATTTGTTTTCCTTGTCAAATAACGATGATAGCATGAATTTATCTCATGCTCCTTGTATGCATGCTCCTTATGAAAATTCATTCCATTTCTTCTTCGAATGTACCTTATATGATGATTTTAGGGAGCCATTACTGACAGCTATCGATAATCTTGGAGGACAAAAAACTCTACATAGTATTCTTTTTGGTGATCCAAACTTAGATGTTTTCCTGAATACAAAAATATTCTTGTCTGTACACAAATTTATAGAAACGACTAACAGATTCAGTAGCTAGCATATTATTGTTTCCAAACTGTTATTCATTAATATTGTTAAATCTATATTCAACACTAAAATGTATAATATTAGGATATGTATGAGATGCACACTGTCTTCACTTTCCAGCACATTTTACATATCCTTCATATGAGCACTGTATATATATTGCGCACTATGTTTCCACAATGTGAAGCTTCAACTGTAAATTGTTCATTTTCATTATGCAATATTATGTATAACTGTATATAGGGAGAAGGCGGTAATAAGTGCTGCCCTTTGTCTTTTTGGACAATAAAATATGTTTAATAATATTTCATCTTGTGATCTGACAAAGTTAATATTTTCAAGTCAAGATATCAACTTTAGTAAACCACATGAAGGGATAAACATTGCATTTGACAAAATAAATTCAAGTCTTATATTTTCTTTGTGATCTTCATGACCTTACTCAGAAGACCATAGTGTCAATGAGGCAGACTGACTGTAGGTGTGACAAAGCGTGATATTTCACCTGATTTTCACTCCAGCAAAAGTATGTTTTCAACATGGTTAGACTAAACAAAGTATTTCATGATTAAAGACATACCGGTAATGCAAATATCAAAACGTGTTTCATTTAAACAAGAGTGAATTTCTGTGTGACATTGATTTAAAGAGCTTTAGTACACTGTCATTAAATTGATGCATCTGTTGAGTTTACTGTTTACAAAGAATATACTGTTTGAGTTTTCGACATATCAGATGAATTGATGCCTTCAAGATTGTTCGTAGCATGTAATGTTACACACTGTGATTGAATTTCCTTAAACTTCTCTATTTCAGAGGAATGTTGTTTTCTAAATAAGCAATATTTTGAGAGAAGGTGAATATGCATTGTTTATAAAAAATGTTATTGAAGTAGGAATATTATTACAATATTATTGAATTATTCATTTCAGGCCAGCGAGTCAACACAATGAAGTACTAGTATCCGGTGACGGATGTCTGGAGGAGCTTTCTGCTGACAGTAACACAATGGTTACAATGTGCGTCCTGTCAAAGGACGAGGAAGTGAAAAGCCATAATCATTTAATCAACAAATGTGCTTCCTGTCATATTTCACTTAAATAGGACGAGGAAGTGAAAAGCCTTATTCACTCACAAATCAACATGGCCAATATTTATCGAACACTGAAAAAGCACATTGTACCATTTGTTTACAAGCAAGAAAATTATTTTCTCCTGGAATTTAATTAGGTGCTTTTGACTGACAAAGACACCCAGTCCATGTTAAGTTTTGAAAACTTATATTGTGAGAAATAAAGATATGAAAATTTTGGTTTGTTTTTCTTTGTTAAATATGAGAAATCCAGATTGTTCCATCAACATAATTTGTACCGATACATATATTTTATCTTGGCTTGATTACCAATTGAAGTTGATTCCTTTATATCTTTTGTTATTTTATCTGTACTCATATCTGATCAAGACATTTTCAAACTATCCAGGATAAATGTATTAGTGGCTTCCTTTTGATATACAATTACCTATCATCATACAGGATTAGGTGAGGGTGTTCAAGAAGTTGGTAGTTGTATCAATTCTTATATTTCTTCAATTTCATACATTATTTATATTTATCAATTTTTAGTTTCCCTTTAACTTATTTTAAACAGTTCACACATTATTACTTTTGTCGTGCACGGTGCAATCTCAATCGGCAATAATCAGTTAAGTAAGTGATGTTTGAAAGTATCATCTGTCATTGTACACACTGAATAGAGTTATCGCCCCTTCTGAATATTTATTTTGACACACGAATTATTTTCATAATTAACATTGTAATATGTTAAAATGAAAATCTTAGCAGAAAAAGTGTCTTTTGTCAACTGAACTCATGGCAAAACGATAGTGCGTTGTGCAGCAAACACCACTATGAAACGTGAAATAAACATGATCTCAATCTTGATCTAGAGTTCGCCAAGCCACGCATTGGCAGCAATTTTGCAAAAGGAAACTGACGTGTTTCATGGTATGCGGTTTATTTACGATACAAAACTTCTGTCATTGAATGTACTGTCACATTGTATCTATATGCCGACGAGGTTATGATAAAACAATCTATTTCTGAAATACGTATCTCGAAATGCACCTTTCGATTCACTTCCGGGATCCTGACAGCAAAATGCTAATTCCAGTGTATTACAAGCATATTTTAGTTGGACCTCATGATTTAATGTGAAATATCTTCTGTATTAGATACAGAGGATACCATTTTTTGTTTGTTTAAAATGTCCATCACTGAAATGCACAACATGCTGTCTGTTCCCTATGAGCTGATGCGACTCTCACTGCATGGAGCTATGCTCTCCAAGCCTCGTTTTCGATCCAAGATGGCGAAAGTGTGAAAAAGGTCATAATGGCCACTAAACGAGTACCTAACCCTAATGATCGTAAAGGGGATCCAAGGGTTAAGGATAGACTTCGGGTAATCTAATAGCCACTAAACGGGTTCCTAACCCTAATGATCGTAAAGGGGGTGATTGATCGTAAAGGGGATCCAAGGGCTAATGATAGAGAGTTCGGGGTAACCTACCCTAAAACTGGCGACATTTGGATGTGTTCAGCGCCAATATAATCCCTAATAAACTGCATTCTTGTGCATAATAATGAAAATTAATGAACTGAAAAAATAATATGTGTATATTAGTTCCCATTTATAACCACTTTATCCACTTCAATTACGAGAAAAACGAAATAAAAAATAAATAAAAAATAAAAGTGCTTTCGTAAACTAGCGCTTGCTCTAAAATGCGCCGCCGCAGGCTATAATTAGTAAACAAATACTCAAAACTCTCAACACTGCAGGGCGGATTCAATGACATTGCGTGTAGAGATGATAGATCACTGGGAGGAGCTTATGCACACTCGACGACCCCTGACGTCACTGGGCATTGTCTCCCCGGTGTGATTGGCAACAAAATACTACACATTACGTCATAGGGTATGATCACGTGTTTGAAAAGTTTGTGGTACTGAATTCTAAAGGTAGGCCCTAAAGCATGTAAAGGCTAGCTTTTCAGTTTTCTATATTTATCTCTGAATGGAATACTTTCTGCCATTATATACTGTGATACTGTGATATACTTGGTTACACTACATTTTATTGTCCCTTCTATGTTACATCTCTATATAATTTCTCTAAATAGTTTAATATTTTCTCTATTATTGCCAATGTGAATGTAAGTCACTACTATTAGTTTGTAATAGCTTAAAGCCTTACTCTTGTCACTGTCTTTAAATTGTGTCCCGGTCAGCCATTGCCTCCTCTCAGTGTTATTTTTCAGGTCATCAACAGTCCTGCCGTTTCTTCTACTGTTCACTCATAACACAATCAACACTGCTTTTATGTAGTATCTGGTAAGGTGAATCTGGCATTTGTTTCAGGTTAGAACTATATGTAAAGGTAACAGAAAGGTGAATAGATAATTTGTTGTCCAAAATTGACTAAGTGTAAACTTTTGTTTTAAAAAAAAATCTGTGCATTAAAAAAAGGCTCATTTCCATTGGGCTGTTGGAAATCAGATACTTTTCTCTATCATTCATTCATAAGATGTAATGTTAAAGTCATAGCTAGTACAGGTGGTGTACGCGTGGCTGGAAGGGGAGGTGGAGGCCACTGTTTGGTTAGGCTAGTAGTTTCTATACAGTGTGTAAATAAGCTGAACATTGGTAAACATTAACTGTATGAAATGAATTGCCTATATGATGTGTTTTTCTTATGATTTTAAATGCAATAATAATTGTTTGTTTCTGTTTATTCATGCATTAAAAATATAAATCCTAATATCTTAAATCTGTGTCTTTTGTTGTCATTCATACCCAAGGCAATATATGGGCGGCTTACACCAGAAACGGGCTTCACACTTTGTACCCATGTCCTTGGCGTGAGGAGCAATACTTTACCCACCAGGCCACATCCACCGCCCCTACCCAAGGCAGATGTGGGCCGAGTCAGTGTGCTCTGAAAGTGAGGTTTATTCCTCCCTTTGACCATATATTCACAAGAACTGATGTTTGTCGTTTGTTTGTTTGGTGTATAACGCTGCACTATGTGTCATTAGTCCAGCAATTTCACTCTTGCCTGAAAATAATTGAGTCGGGACAGACAATCGAGTGATTGATGTTGTGAGCAAAGATATTTGGGATACTGTAATGTAGAAGTATCAAATCAATTAGAATACCTCCAGCTAGAAGCTGCCAGAATAGTTACTGGGCTCCCAAAGTATACTCCCACAAACATCTGTATTATGAAACGGGATGGTAAACGTTAATAGAACGGAGGGAGCGTATGCAATGTTTGTTCTACGACATACAAAGAAATATTGCATCAGCTTATCTTAAAGACACTGTTCCAACCAATGTAGGTTCAAATGTAAGATATAATTTCAGAAATTCAGACAATATTGTGGTTCAAACTACTAGACGAAAACACTCAACCTGTTCTTTTATTCAATCAACTGTAAGATTATGGAACACTATTCCTGTTCAAGTCATACATGTAGAAAGAGCAATGTGTTGCACCTTCATATTTTCCCTATGGTGTTGGGAAGCTGAATATTTATCATATTCGATTAAGATACATAACAAGCTAGTCATCTAAAATATACAGAATAGAGATAAAATGTGATCTGAAATGTGAATGTGGTGGTCCATGTAAAAAATCATTTCAATATTTATTAGAGTGTCCATTGTGTAACCACCAAGGAAAATCTATGTTAACCATTCGGGACATTTACAGAACGCCTTGAACAAAAATGTTGAATTACATTTTTAAGGTTGATGTTAAACGGACATGAATGTTTGTCAACAATCGAAAATCAACATATCTTAAAACCAGTGCAAATGTTTATAAGTCCTACAAAGTGATTTGGGTAACTCATAAATGTAAATACTAGGGTACATTCCTATTATAGCTAAACACTTATCTTTCCTTGTGTATGCTTTGCTGTACAAGCTTTTGTAGATACCATGGAAAGGGAGTCCTAAGTTGGATAACTTGTTCCCAATCCTTTTCAATCTGAATAAAATATGTTTAAAACAAAACAGACAGTCGGGGAAGGATGTCACTCAATAAACATAATACTCACAAGTAAAGTCACGGAATCTGACAATTCGTGACCAACTCGTGTTATTCCGGGACAAGTCGAATTGCCCCTCTCCATTCGTGACCAACTCGTGTTATTCTGGGACAAGTCTAATAGCACCTCTCCATTCGTGACCAACTCGTGTTATTCCGGGACAAGTCGAATTGCCCCTCTCCATTCGTGACCAACTCGTGTTATTCTGGGACAAGTCTAATAGCACCTCTCCATTCGTGACCAACTCGTGTTATTCCGGGACAAGTCGAATTGCCCCTCTCCATTCGTGACCAACTCGTGTTATTCCGGGACAAGTCTAATAGCCCCTCTCGTGACCATTGTTGCGACCAGGTTCCGTCTAAGCGCAAAGAGGCATAGCTTAAAGAATTGTCTACTTGTTGCGTAATGATTCACGTATATTTCCCCATATATTATATAATTTCAGATGCAATTTAAAGCACATATGGACATGCGGTATTATACGGCATGATTGAACACATATATATGTATCTTGGGCATATTTTTAGATGCAAGACATATATAAAATCAAAAATGATTCCTGAGGGATTCTTTGACCGAAGAACTTGAAGTCATACGCGCATTTTGATTGTTGTATATTTTCGCACATAACATTCAGCGATAGGGGGACGAGTGCAGAATACGGAAAGGGGCGAGTGGCGACGAATGATTCTAATCGGGCATTCGTGACCAACTCGTGTTATTCCAGGACAAGCTACTTGCACGTTACGGAAAGGGGCGAGTGGTGACGAATGTCTTATCGGGCAGTCCACTGGACAAATGGAGAATAACTAGATCACGACATGCTGTTTATTCTGACAGGACCATAAACATATCAGAAAGATTAATCGAGATGGAAAAATTGAGTTACCGAGACTATTTTCACTGTGAGTCTTTGCTGTACAAGCTAAGATAATGATATCACCCATCCATAAACATTCTAGGCGTTTAATACAATTAAACAATGCCAGACAGGACTACAATACGGCGTTTTGCCATTGAGTGGGGCTGTTTTTACCGGGAACGATGTTGTTCTATTATTCTCATATTTGGTGGATTTTATTC